CAAATAGGGACACCTATAGTGCAGAAGTTGCAATGTTAAGAAAACAGAGTAGACCTTAACATTAACATTATTAAGAAGATAATAGAAAGTTATTTTTAAGCTAAAAACCTACTAAAACAGAAGGCACTAAATGTTCTACATGCAGACATATCTATGCACTAAATAACTGCTTCTATGTCTATCTAGACAGAGCACTAGACTAGTAGATGCTAAATAAGAGAGTTAAAGAGCTTATAGCATTAAAGCGTAAGCATAACTTAGAATTTTAAGGCCTGCTAAGAGAGCAGCGTAGACATAATTTAAAAATACTAATCTTAAAGAGTTTACATACACCTATGCTAGAGATATAAGAAGACTAACTTAAAAGCTAAAAAGTATTAAGAGTTAAGGCAGCTGCATTACTAGCTATAGTTAATTTAAACTAGAACAGATATCTGCTAAAAGAATTATTTATCCTTAACTTAGGCTTAACATGCTATATTATAAATAATTTTAATTAGATCTACAACTATTATTTACTAACACTAGAAGACTTTATTTAGTCTAGAAACTCTTACATATAGATTTAAAGCTACAGATTAATTACACTAAGCCTAAAAAGTAAGCATAGAACACATAGTTAAGCATACAGTCTTGTACTACATAACGCTGCACTGTGCTTAGACCTGCTGTGCAACCTAGTCTTATTCTGCCTACTGCAACAGAAAGGAATCTAGTGGGACATATAAGCAGAGCTAACTGCTTTAAAGGCTCTAGACAGGACAATAATTAGAGATCTTATAGAGATCTATAGCTAATAGGTGTTAAAGTACTATCTACTATAAAAGGGCTTATATTATACACACATAATTAACACAAGAACTAAACATAGTCTATAAAAGGCATTAGTAGAGCTATAGCATAAGCGTCTAGGACACCCTAGACTAGCTACACTTTAACACCTTATACAGCAAGCTAAGGGGGTGCAAATTAAAGAAATTACAATAGTCTAATGTAACTTATGTAGTAGAGCTAAGATATAATAATAAATTAACTACGCACTGCAAATTAGCAACAGCAGACCTAGTAAGAGACTGTTAATTAATTTCTATGCATATAAAGCACAAAGCATTATAAAAGAGTAGAGTTAAATGCTAATTACTAACAAGTATTCTAGCCTCTAGTAAGACCTTTACTTTAAAAATAATAGGCTTACTAAATTAATTATTAAAGCTCTTATAATCTTTATCCTTTTTTTAAAGAACTATTATAACATTACTGTAAAAGTTATTAAAGCTAATAATAAGATTACAACAGTAAAACTAGAGGTAAAACGCTAGCTAGCATTGCATAGAATAACTGTTAAGCCTTTAGCACTAGATACACAAGCCTAGAACAGAGGAGCTAAACGCTTAGAAGGTGTAAACAAGGAGAAGTTACAGGCTATACAACTAGATGCTAACCTACTATAGGACGTATAGCCATACATTACTAGAGCCAGCGTATACCTATACAATTAGACGCTAAACTATGCTAATAACTAGAAGACACTATACAAGATCTTCTTTATACAAGCAGCTCTAAATAATAAAGTTGTTATGTTAATTTAAAAGCTAAGCTTTACACATCTAAAAGCCTATAGCTGTAAAGCATTTATAATAACTAATAACACACATTAGAATAAATCTAGGCTACAGAGGCTAGACCTAAAGGCGTAGATTAGATATCTAGTTAGGTACTAATTATTAAACATCTACTGCGTATAGATACTACTACTAGCAAAAGTAATCTGTACACATAATGTTATCTTTAACAAACACTTAATCTTTAGTAGTAAGCCTAAAGACCTAATAAATAACCTTATGTATAACATAGTAAAGGAAATTGCTATATACATTAGAATAATTAAGCTTCTAACACCTAGTTATTAGCTAGAGACAAAGTTATTCTATAAAGACAACACTATAAATAATACATTAAATTTTAATAAAGTAGACCTACTAGGCTACTATTAAGAAAAAAAGATTAGAGATAACTATCTGTCTCCTCTAAACACTCTGCTACCTGCAGCATTACTTATGTAGTTAATAGCTAGAGCAGCACTAGAGCTAAGCTAAATAAGGTTGTTAAAGACTGTACTATAAGCTACAGCCTTTATAGCTAGCATAAGATCTAGAAGTGTAGAAAAGCATAGCAGCAAGACACTAGATAAAGCAGCATTAATAAGAATGCTATCTAAAAGGAAGACACTTTATAGAAGCTAGCTGCTACCTCTACTATTAACTTAAAAGCAACTAGAGGAGCACCTTCTACATAAGATATTTAAGGCAGCAGAAAGAACGCACCTAGACAGTTATTAGACAATAAAATTCTAAACAGAGGTCTAGACAAAGCTAATTAAGGCAGCTAGACAGCAGATTCTAGATTGTATGTAGGTGTACACCTATAAGCTTAATAAGCACCACAGATTGTAAAGATGTAAGGCGTGACTAGTAGTCTACAGCAATTAACAGAGAAACATTACTACATAAGATACCTACGCTGCTACCCTAGCAGAACGCTTATTTTAAATGCTAATAGTAATATCTGCACGCTTTAACTTAGAGCTTAAACAATACAACATAACTAACGCATTTGTACATGCAGCAATTAACCGCAATATCTACATGCAGATGCTAAGAGGCTATTAGAAACTAGGTATAATACTAAAGCTTTAAAAAGCACTATATAGACTGCAAATTTCTTCTCTACTCTAGCAACACTATTTTATAATAACCCTTAAAGGCCTTAGGTTCTTAGCTGTCCTACATAAACCCTACTACATAACTAAAGCTAGAATATTTGTCTTCTTCTACATAGACAACCTTATTGTTGCGTACAGGAAAGGCTCTAAAGCAGATGCACAGCGTGTAGTAGACTAGTTACAAGAGAAGTATACCCTAACAAGAGGCAAGGACCTATAATAGTTTCTAGAAGTTAAGATTATTAGAGATTAACAGCAACAAATAATTTAGCTGTTACAGGCATTATATATTAATAAGATAGCTAGGCTAGCTAACAGAAAGGACCTGCAGCATGTTACACCTATAAGTGGGATTAAACTTATGCTGCAATCTAGTTTTGCAACCCTATTAAAAGTAAATTAATATTAGCAAAAGATTAGATCTCTGCTCTTTGCAGCAGTCACTACAAGACCAGACATTGCCTTTGCCACATCACGCCTTGCACAGTTTCTCACAAATCCCGCATCTAACCATCAGGATGCAGCCGATCGAGTCATCCTGTACCTACATGCGACACAGACGTACGCACTCTAATTAGGAGGAAAAGACTACCTTGTAGTAGTAAGCAATGCATTATTTATAGATAATACACTAGATAGAAAGAGCTTTTAGGGCTATGTTATTTAACTATTTAGCAGATAGATTGCATAGCAAGTAAACAAATAAGATATAGTTATAATGTTAACAACAGAAGCAGAATTACTTGCACTGTTCTAAGTTGCTAAGGAAGCTATGTTTACAAGAATGCTCCTTAATAAACTATAGGTTAAGCTGCCTAATTTAACTATTACAATCTAGTGCAACAACAAGCAGACAATCTGACTAGTAAACAAAGAGATATCTTGACTTTAAACTAAGCTCTGACATGTCAACATCCATAACTACTAGCTCTGACAGGAAGTCTCTCAACAAATAATTAAGGTTGTCCATGTCCCCTCCAGCAAGATGCTTGCGGACAGACTTACCAAAGCGCTTCTAGTTAGCAAATGGCCAAGCTTTCTTCAGCAAATTTAGCTAGTTGACGTCAGGGAGAGGATAGTCAGTCAGGAAGCGGATATGGAAGAGATTGAAGCAAGAATGGAAGCCCTGGAAGCATACTAAGGTTGCGCAATCAGGAACCAGCTTGAAGCATGTCCAAGCTGAGGGGGTGTGTCAGATTTGCGCACCTACTGTCAAGACAGGAGGAACGCTTGACGAAAGCTGCTACATAGTACGAGCAATAAGCTCGAACAGTATGTTGCTGTAAATTGCAGCATTTTGCAGCATGTTGCAGCAAATTGCAGCATGTTGCAGCAGTTTGCAGCAAATTGCAGAAAATTGCAGCATTTTGCAAGCTGGTCGCGCATAGGGCAAGTGCGCGAGGGACTCGGATCGGCAAAACAAAAAGCCGAGCAACACAAGTAGAGCAGAAAAAGGATTGATAAATCAACACGATCAATACAATCAATCAATCATCCCATACATCATATCCAAACCCATCATTCATCTCAGGAAGCCCAGAAACAGTGCTTCAATCTGACAGATGTACAGTGATCAATAGAGATGTTATGGTGAGGCTTAAAATGCTTGCGGGGAAGGACCGAGCGCATGCTAGCGTTAGCCGACTGCAACACCTGCGCAAAGGATGCGATCTCAGCTAGGATTCTGTAAGCCAGATAGCTCCTCTCGTTTCTATATATACCTCATGGCCATTCGGCCTATAACAATAAATACATCAATACAATTCACTCCTCTTATAACTCATAGCCGCGCTCCGGCTTACAGATTCACACTAGAAAAGTAACATGTACAGGTTACCCCTCCTTATCGAACCTACAAATACTAAATCTTGATTGGCCCACAATGACATCTAGCAGGGAGGGGGCAGCCCGTCCATGAGTCCCCCTTGTATCTCGAAGCCCGAGGGCTCTAACATGGCCTGTCCAATCAACTCAAGGCTTGGCTTTTCGCTTGTATATGTCACATCTTATGGCCACTCAGCCTTTAACCATCAATAGATCACTTCTCTCATAGCTCGCAGCCCCTCCAAGCTTACAGAATATGTTGCTACGGTGACGTGCACTTCCGCACAAATCGTAAATCTTGTGGTGAAAACTGCAATGTTCATGAAATCTAGAGTGAAGGGTGTGGTGGAGGCCCGATCGACTTTGTCGCCAGGAAGCCATTAGCCACAGCTAGTCCCTATCAAGAAACGCACCAAAGCTCAAGCTCAGCGACATGTCCTCTGCACGTTTTGTTGCACTCATTCCGGGAGTCCGTCTCCCACTCAGACCTCTCGACAACATGGCTAAACAAGAACAAAAGTATTTGCATCTTCCTCCGCCCACAACACAGCCTCACCATGCATGATGCCTTCCACATAGGCATCCCCCACAACCGTGTACTCATTCCGCTCCTCGCTTACGACATCCAATACAATCGGTACACTGCAACCATGAATAACCACAACCGGTGAGCCGTTCTTTTCTTCACCCCGAGCCTTGGTTCCAATGTATGGGCCAAGGCCAAGTCGACCATCCCTCATTCTGATAAAACGCCGACCCCGCCCTGTAGAAAGACAAGTTGCAAGAGCCTCATTGTATCTCGATAGATTGGCCACCTCGTTGAAAAGCGGTTTTGGTTTCAGTCCTAGCACTTCTTCGACTGTCTCGCTTGGAGAGTTACCATTCGACGCTACGACGTTTAGGAATGCGATCATGTCTTTCGTCGTCCATTCTTCGAGCCCAGGGAGATCCTGTTTGAGCTGGGTGACAAGGCCGTCGAGGTACTCATTAGGAGGGTCCTCGTAGAGATGGAATCTTGCGCTGCTAAGGGTTTCAATGAAGCCAATGATCTTGCCTTTTACAACCAAACGGCCAGTAGTTGCAGCATCGCCATTTTGGGTTTCCAGATGCACGTGTTGCCGCCCATCCGCCGCATTCCAAGTAATTTCACCCCGCAGCGATCGCACACCCCCAGTTGCGAATCGGAATGGCGCTGAGAGGGGTGTGGCGGACCACGATGGCACCCAGGAAGGGAAACCCTTGAGCTCCTGTGGTGTATTCGGCAACAGCTCGTCGAGATTTGCGGACCAGAGAGACAGGAAGTCCAGCGAGCCAAAATCGTCCGCAAGAGATGCCGCAAATCTTGTGAAATTCGCTTTTGTAGAGACGGAATAATCTGGTGTGAAAGAGGAGCCTTCCAGCATGCCTAAGAAAGCGTAGAGTTGGTCGGCTAGCTCCAAAGTCAGGAATTCCTGGCTCACTTGATACATGACGCGAAGAAAGCGGAGTGGCTGTTCGTCGGTGAAAGCATGTAACTTAAGGTTCATGAGAATATTGTAGCTGTACCAGGTCTGCTCGGCTTCGCCGGGCTGGTGGGCCGGTGGGATGGTCTGCAGATCGGCAAGATCTTGCATGTTCATCTCGACATCACCGGCGAGAAAACTCGGCGTTTGCGCTCGCAAAAGTTCCTGCACAACCCAACCACGCGAAAACCATGGACGAGACCAGAAATTTCGGATGGCGGGCGCGTATATTGGATCGGTGCCTGGGCTGATGAATGTGCTGCGCACTACAAGATAGCGAATATCCGGGTTGAAGGTGCCACTTCCGGGTGTCATTCTGTCTGAATTGGGCATCCCCTGTATCATCTTTGCAGCTGCATCGAGGAATTGCTTGCATAGCCGGCTGTTTTCGTCTGCAGGTCCAAGCCAGATTAGTACTCTGCGGGCGGACTTGTAGATTTGTGACATGAGAAGGATTTGTTTTGACTTCTCCGCCAGGTCAATCTGATTAATGCAGAGCTGGTCAATCCACAGTAGCTTGGTTGACGAGTGATGGCAGAGATGCGGCAGCGCTTGGGAAAGGTTCTCGGTGAGCCCGATGAGATCCTTATCCTCGTCTATGATAAGGCCGGCCACACGATCAGGTTTGCCCCAAGTGTAAGAGATTGCTTCGAATTCTAGCTGTGCGTCTTCGTTTGGAAGCTCCATCTGGACGATTCTGTATCGGTAGGGTGGTGACTGTGACTGTACATGTGCCTGTACCTGTGACTTGTCATCGTCGCTGTTGGTCAGAATTTGCAGCAGGCGGATGTGGCGATCGCTCTCGAGGGGCCGGTATTTGTAGGTTGTTGGGAAACCGCCGGATGCCATGGTTATGCGAGCCGCGGGCTGAAGATTTGCTGCGGTGAAGAGGAGAGGTCTGTCGACCCACCCGGGATGCCCAGGTGATGCAATATGAGGGGCATATCGTGTAGCATTAGCCGCACTCAAGGAACACGAGAACAGACCAATTTCAGAGGCTGAAATATGGTGTCGGGGCGCCGGCTCACGGGAAGAGACAGGCTACCTTGGTGGGATGAGTGCAGGGTGTGCCCTGCAAAAGGGGAGGGCGTGTGAAGAGAATAAGGGGGACTGCTGTTTGTCTCGATCTATTGCGTGCAAAAATCGGGAAATTTCTTGGCGTTCCTTATATCTTTTTTTCCCCCACTAAAATTGTATAGGAGATTAGAATCTTAATAGAATTCCTAATATATTAACAAATAACAATTAGATTAGCCCTAAGTAGGTTAAAGCCTTTAGTTTATATAGAGAAGCGCCTATACTAACTTTTTTAGAAGTAACAACATGTTTGTTTGTAATGTATTGCGCTTATAGCGTCTCTATTCTTTCTAGCTAGCCCTAATTACCCTAATATCTTAAACTAAGCACCTAAGGGCTTAATAATTGCGTTTATATAAACATTTATTAGTTTCTTCTACTTAGATAGCCTAAAACTGCAATTGCTAATTATAAAAGTTGTTCTCTTTACATAGTTTATGTAACAGCGCAGGCAAGACAATGGGTCTAAATGCGGTGGGAATCCACTTAGAGGCATATAGGAGTGCGTGGGGACTCTAAACCTAGGAATGCCATTAACACCTATAGGCCTTGTACAAAAGGATATCAGAAAACTACTAAGCTAGCTACAGAGGCGAGGTGCGACTAAATACATGAGGGAATAGGGGTAACTGCAGGGGACTAGGTTGAGTCATGGTCAGAGCTAATACAGGGACCCTTTAGATAGGATCCGAGCGACCTGAGATGGAACAATTTGTAGAATTGTTACAGTTTATAATATAGAGAATAATCTTAAGGCTTATAGCAGCATTTATAAGCCACCTACTATAAAGCTTAAAAGACCTTTTAAAATTAGTAATAAAGATAGTAAAGCTCTATTTAAGAAGTTAATCTACAGCAGATAAAGATACTAGAACAAATAAGCCTATTAGCTATAAATAGAAAGAGGTGTAAAGGTTAATAAATCTATAATCTTCTATTACCTTACCTAGCATAGATAAAGTAGGCGTACCTTACAGCCTTTTTTATAGGCTTGTAATAAGGAGCTTTAAAAGCTTTACTATTACTTTTTTTATTAGTTTATGTAGGATAATTTAGTATTTTTTAATAAGTTTATTTTTAATAAGAAAACTAGCTAGCAGCATAAGGCTTATAGGCCTGTAGGCTATAAAAGTTAATATACTTAGAATATAAGGCGCAGGAAGACATAGGCTATTCTTCTAGCCTATACAGTAAACAGATACCTACCTTATATAAAAGTAAAGAAAAAATATTTTAATTATAAAAAGTTTATTAATTAAATTAAGTAGCACTTTTTTTTTTTTACTTTAAGCAACTTACAGGACCTAGCCTATAGTTATAGTCCTTAATAATGTCTTAATCTATTAGAATAAAGCTGTTACAACTATTTTTAAGGCTACTAGCTATATTATCTGTTTTCTTTTACTATACTTGCCTAACTATAATCTTATTAAGTTAACTTTTAGAGTATTAAAGGCATAGATTAAAAGAAACTATTTATACTATTAGTAGTAGTATATAAGCTTTAGCCTATTTCTTAAGGATATAATTAGAAGTAGTAAGTGTAATTATTTTACTAAAAAACACTTTATATACACTACTAAAGGGTTATATATAGAGCTAGAGAAGCTTAATTAAGTAAGAGCTAAAATTAGCGCTTAATAAAGTTGTAATAAGGATTTCTAAAATAATAAAGACTATAAAGATATTAGGTTGTAGAATAATAAAATATTAAACTTTAATTAACTTTATTTAGCTACTAAAAACTTTACATTTATTAGAATTCTAAGTCTATTAAATTCTCTTTTTAGCACTTAATCTCTACTCTATTACTTTATAAATATTTAATAGTTCTTAAGTAGTTTAATATTTAAGTTTAAATTAATAAAGCTTATTATAAAAATAATATACTATTTTATTTTTTAACCTAAATAGAGCTTTTACTACTACTATATATAATTTACTCTAAAGAATTAACATCTTTTTAAGATCTTTTAAGATCTACTTTTACTTTATTACTATATCTTTTACTTATATATAGTCTTTATAATCTTTAACTAGTTATTATTTAATAAGCTAGTTAAAAAACTTTTTTACTAATACCTATAAGTTATTCTTCTTACTGCTAGTAATAAGGCTTAAGCTTAAAATAGGTATAAGTTGTTTAAGAGTCTCTAGGTAAAAAGTAGCTATTAAAAAAGTAAAAAGTAGATAAAGTATATTTAAAAATAAAAACAGTAAATTTCTTAGACCTAACATATTATAGTTAGTTAATTAAAACTGCTGCTAAAGCTGCTACTATTAAAAAGCTTACTTTCTTATTTTTTAAGCTTTTTACTATTTGTTAGCTGCTTTCTTTATAGCTTATAGTCTCTCTTAGATTCTATGTTTTTTAGCTGCTTTTATTATCTTTTTAAGCTTATCTTTATTACTTAAAGATAATAAGAAGCTATAATACTTTTTTTTTTACTTATTATACAGGTTTACTTTTAGCTAGTTCTTTATTAAAGTTTACTAGTATTATATAAGCTCTATTAGTAGCTAATTTATAATGCTTAGCCTTTAAAAATTACCTAAGCTTATAACTCTAAATTAGTGTCTTTTATAGTAAAGTGCTTATAAGTAGCTTAGTAAATATAGTAAAAGTACTTAAAGTTATTATAAGTTAATACTTAGCACTTTTATATATAAAAGATCTAACTCTAGCTATTAATACTAGTAGTAAGATTTTAAATTCTTTAACAGGTATAATTCTTATTTAATAGCTGCTATATGCGCTAGGGCAACTTTTCTCTATAGCTTAAAGTAATAAAAAGATTAATTAAAGGCTTATTTACTAACTAGTTATATAAAAAAGCCTTTATTATTACTTTATATATAAGCTTTATTTCTACCTTAATATCTACCTTATCTGCGCCTTTAAGGCGCTTTATATAGTGTTTAATGCTAAAAAACAGCTTTTATTCTTTACTAAGCTTAAAGTTCTTTATTATTTAAAGCTGCTAGCTAGCCCCCTACTTATTAGCTCTATATTAAATAGTGTGTAAAGTAATACAGAAATCTTAAGCCTTTATATGCTTTTATATAAAAGGGCTCTTAATTATAGCATTAACTTAATTTTTTACTTATAAGAGTAAAAAAAATGCTTAAAAAATAACTTTATTTACTAGCCTACTATTAGCCTTATTACTGTTTACACGCACTAAATATTATACAGTAACATTAAACTCTACTATTTAATTAGAGGGGGAAGACTCTCTAGCAGCTGCAGGAGTAGAAGCAGGCTAAGATAAAATAAAAGTTAGAGGGGAGCTTTTTAGTAGTAAAAAAAAGTTATCCTTAAGTATATTAAATAAAGTATTAGGCTTAGAGTAATAGGTAGGAACTATAGGAACAGCTTCTTGCTAAGCTAGAGCAGAAGAAGCAGATTGTTTAGTTGCTTTTACTGCTTTCTAGGGTGCAGGCTTACTCTTAGTAGGTGCTAGGATATAGTAAGCTTTTCCTACTTTACTTTTACTATTAGGTTAACTTATAACACACTAACTTTAGTTTAGTACTACTAGTAGTCTTCTTATGCTTACTTAACAGGCCCTATGCTCTTACACGTGTAGAATAGGCTAGTAAGTTACTACTAAAGTTAATTTAACACATCTAGGTAGCTAGGGCTGCTCTAGCCTTCTGTTTTAGGCCTATTGTTGTCCTGTTACTCTAAAAATTAAGCTAAAAGCAGCATCTCTATATAAACTTAAGGCTTTAACTTACTAATAATATTTAAGAAAAATTTATTAATATATTAGAAATTTTATTAAGATTGTAATCTTCTATGTAATTTTAGTAAGGAAAAAAAAGATCTAAGGAACGCTAAGACATTTCCCAATTTTTGCACATAATAGATGTGGACTGTGGCTGATGCGGCCCGAGCCACGGCGTGAGGGCTCACCCCAGATTTCACAAAGGTTGTGGACGATGACGCCGGAGACTGAATCACGACCCAAATACAACAGCAGCATGACTTTGTTTAGGAAGCGAACCTGCTCTGTCTGGCTTATGCTTCCTTCTCTCCACCGCCGCGGATTTTGTTTCTATCGGAATTTGTTAACGAGCTTCACTGACGATTGCCTTGCACGTCTGCACCGGAATGAGTCTTGCATGAGCTGAGGAGGGGTCATATGGGAAGCGAGTCGACAAGGTAGTGAGATCCAAACAAGGTGGATTGAACGAGTGTATTGTAAGGTCTGAGGAGCTCGATAGAGCTCTGAGCTAACTATATACTGTACGAGATAGGAGCTATGCGTAATGAGTGAATAGTGCAGTACATGGGTATGATATCGCGTGAGACACGTGCGACAATGAGCACTGCTGCTGTTAGGGGGAGAAATGCACTGTCTAGATTGTCGCGTTAGAATTAGCGGTCAAAACTTAGATGGCAGAGTGGCGCCGGTTGCTCTTAGCTTAAGCACAGTTTCTACTTTTAGCATTATGCATTGGTGCATGTGAGGGTTCTCATGAGTTAGTTTAAGCCTGGAAAGGGCATGAGTTATGGGAGAAGTGATGCATTGATGATGAGAGGGGCCTTGGGGCCTTGAGATATATATACAAATGAGGGGAGCCAAGCCCTGGGCTGATTGGGCAACCCTCCGAGTTATAGTTAGTTAGCTTGATTGTGAGAAAGGATATTCTCGGAGTTCACGAAAAAGATGATTAGATATTTCCACGGTGATTTCAGACTCATCGGCCTATCATCACGCTTTCGATAGTGGGCTCTCTCTGATGCAATCCAGCGCTTCCAACCGTACGTACTACGACTCAGAAAAGTGAATAGTTACGGTCACGTGAGCCGTACAAACGTAAGAGGATTGTCAATTGTAACGTACGACTGAGAGAGGTCCCCTTACAGTCTGTAATACGTCTCAGAAAGTCGATTTTTCCTAGTAATATAGGACCTGATTAGACATCCATGGGCAAGCGTTGGGAGGGCGTTTGAGGGGGCGTTTTTAAGTAACAATGGGTGAAAACTCTATTGTGTGCTACAAGCAAGGATGCGTTAGAGAGGGGGGGCTAGGGTATTAGATTCTATGCAAATAGTTAACTTTTTTGCGCTCTATATTGTCCTAAAGTTATAATTTGCCATTCTCACCTATCATAAGCTAATTGTCTCAATTCCTCCAGCGTGGCAGGCGTACAGCCTCATCCTAAGCTAGCTCCTCCTAAGCTAGCTCCTCCTAACAAGCTAAGGTAGCTTATTACGCTAGTTCTTATTATCTTGCTTACTTAAAGGCCTTATTATCCTCTCTATCTGTTAGCTCTTATAATAGGACGCTAGTAGTTAAATCTATAAAAGAGTTCCTAGCTAATAATTATCTTAATAATAGTGTAAACTTCTCTATTAAGTAGGATAACCTCTAGCTAATAAATAAAAAGCTTTTACTAAAAAGGCTTAGTTACTGCGTTAAACATAAGAGCTAGCTTTACAGGAATTATCCTGTTTCCTCTATATAGCAGCATGGGGCAGATTTAGTGTATAAGGATAATAAAGGCGTTCTTTTAAGGCTTTAGTTGTGCAAGAGATGCCACACACAGAGCCTCTAGGCTAGGGTAAAGAAGGTTAACAGCTATAACTATATTGTTAGCTATCTTAGAAAAGAGCACTAAGTTAATGCTAATAAAAGTTTCTTACCTAATAGGCTATAGCTTCTAGCTAATCCCTTTAACATTACTTATAAGGTTGCTAGAGGGGGGCATATTATTACTTACACTGTCTAGTAGGAGGAGTCTTTATAGAAGGCAGTTGTTAACTAGGTAATCTTTTATAATATTTCTTTTACTAAAGCCTTATTAGCTAAACTTTAGGGCATTATTTTTTAAAACTGCGCTAACCTTCTCTGCACCCTTTTATTATTACCTACTATATATTCTTTATATGTAAATTCTAGAGTTGTAGAGTAAAAGCAGGAGATTTAAACAGTACTAAGAATAGCCTAGTTAAAAGTTGCATTAAGCGTTAATATATAGACTTTACTAAACTACCTTTTCTTTTTTAGGGTAGTAGCTTATTTTATTAGTAAGTTAGTAATTCCCTAGCACTAGCGCCTTAGCAGCTTAAAAACCTTATAATAATTAACTATGTAAAAACAGATAGCAACTACTAGCACTAAAACCTACTTATTAGCTTTTAAAACCTTTATAGCAACTATACAAAGGCAAATTAAGCGCATAAGATTACTGCTATTATTTATAACTTTAAAATTACATTAAAATTTTATTATTTAGTTGCTAACAACGCATTAAATAATAATAAAGAAACTATTACTAACCTTACTAGGCACATTAACATGCTGCTCACCTTTAAGCACTGTATACGCTGTAGTAGTTATATAATCTAGCTAGTTATTAAGGCAGTAATATATAGTAAAAGGCTTAGTGCTTTTAAGACTAAGCTAGCCTAAGCTGCTCCCTAGGATTAGTTTAATATATACTACTAGTATAAAGTTATAGGCAAGCTTTATAATTTTATAAACGCAGTGTTAGCATCACATAAACACTAGAAGGCCTTTATAATATATTAGGCTACTATTAACACTAACAACTTTTTTTAAAGCTTTAAAACTTTTTCTCTTATATAAAATAGCAGTGTCTGCTAGCATTTAGTATATCTTATGCTATTACGCTGTTACAAGCTTAAAACAACTATTATAACATTTATCTAAAAGTAAAGAGGCACTAATAATAATAACTCTACTACGCCTAGCATCTCTGCTCTTACTAAGGTAATAACTAAAGATAAGTAAAAAAAAGTAAACTGCTTTTATAAGTTTCTTAAAGTTTTTTACTTTATAACTAAGAAAATTAAAGGTAACAGTAAGTACAGGTTTTTTAGATAATAATTATTAATCTCTAGCACTTATACAACAAACTTTATAAGGTGCAGGAGAAGGTAAAGCATAAAGATAAAAGCTCCTACTTTAAGAACAGCATATTATATAGCATTAAGAAGTTAATGTTATACTAGGGTAAGTTTATTCTAGAACCTCTTATATCTTATTACTACATTATAACTATACTTAACTCTTAACTTTGTCTTATTTAGTTTAAGAATTATTAAAAAAAGCACTTATTATAGCATAAAAAGGCTAAAGTTTTAATAAAAGCTATTTTCTAGCAGTATGTTAATGCAGAGGCTAAGGCTAAGGTTAATAAAGATAACCCTCCTTAGCTGCCCTAGTGTTGTAAGTTACCTAGTAGCAACTATTATAATAATAGATTTAAGAAGACTCTCTCTATAAACATCTCTCTCCTTACTAGCAATTACTTATATAAAAGGTAGCAGAAAACCTTAGAGTTGCAGCAGTATTATAACTTTTATTAGAAAAACTTTGCTATAGCTAAGGATAACAGCCCCTTGTTTGCAGATCCTTTTACATAGTAGACAAAAGTAGAATGTTTCTTCTACCCTACACTTTTTAAAATTGCCCTTAATTTCCTCTCTATCCTATGTACATTCTGCAACTGCGAGAGAGCCTTCTCTAGTAGGAGAAGGACTTGCTACTTTAACAGGAACTGCCTCTCTAGAGAGATAATTAAGGCTCTTTAATTATAGAAAAACTAGCTCTGTTAGAGAGCAATTTACTCTAAGCTCTTAGCTCTCTTAGATTATATTTATTCTAGTGTTATGTTGTAACTTCTGCTAAGTTGTTAAGCTGTATAAGGATTCTTAATTATTACAGTTAAGACTTGTAAGTGGTCCTTATGTTAATTGTATAGTAGAAACGTACTAAGATAGTCAGACGTAACGTCCCGGATTTGGTCGAGTCGAATCGTATTACGTACGGTTGGAAGCGCTGATGCAATCCGTCATACCACCCTCCTTTAGCCTTCATCTCAAGTCGGAGATGAGCACTGAGTCTCAAAAACCGCTGCGGTTAACTCTTCTCCTGCCTCAACGAGGAGTCTTGTCATGTACAAGGTTGGGAACAACCAGCCAGCAAATCTACGACTCTGCGCCTCCGCGCCTCCTCCAGCATGCCCAGTTCCCGTCCTACACCCAAGAGTCAACAATACTTGACCTCCATATGACCCACTGGTTTCTTCGCGCTGCTTGGGTATCAACCTTTCTCGCACAGTCAGACAAGGGGTAGAGAAGAAGTGAATTCGTCAACTTAGTGAGAACCAAACTGAGCGTATTGAAAAGATCTGATAAGGTCTGGTCTGTCTAGTCTGAGGAGCGAGAGAGAGCTCCGAGCTGACTATATATGTACGAAGCAGGAGCTAGTCCTAGTGGCCGGCTAGTGCAGAGCTGGGGACGGCATCACGTGCGACAGCCTTTGCCTCCTTGAGCTCCATCCTCCGAATTTGTGCAGTAATGGGGCTGCGACACCTCTTGGGGAAGGCTTGGGATACTGCCCGTTGGTCGGCCCGAGCACCCACAGACAACCAGAAGCGCTCACCAACAAACATCTCCCACGCAAAGAGACCCTTTACCGACGAAAGAGAACACAGTGCTCTTGGGGGTTGCCATCACTAGCCTACACGAACGCACAATACCTGCAAACCCACAACCTTACACCTTCTCTCGCATACTTAGCTGGCGCCTTCGTGTACGAATCGCACCTTCCTAAATACCAACAATGTAATAGCCTCGACCTTGTCGCCCAGTTTCCTCGCCCAGCCGAGTTATCCTGCTTCCGTACCCACCCCATATTCGCCCTCCAAATACGCAACGTGATGCGGCAACACATCTCGCGCCCAGCCACCAGCTCGACGCGAGAGATGCCACCGTGGAGATAAGGCATTGGATAACCTGGAAGAACTTCACTTCCACACCTACACCTATGTTAGAGACATCACAAAGGCATGCTTCATCCCATGCCAAGTCTAGCGGACGCGACGCCCCAGCCTAAGCCAAGAAGCCTTGGAACAGCCTAAATAACAATGGTAAAGACAAGGGTGTAAATGAAGACAAAGGAGAACTAACGGTTGTGTCTTGTCGTCGTCCATATGTAGGGGAAAGCTGGACAATTCCCATACCGATAGACGGTATTCTCGCTTAGCTTCGAACAACACCGATGCCACGGCTTCTAAACCTCCCGCCGGTATTCCTCCTGGACTTGTGGTCTAGTGTCTGCCGTCCTATCTCTAGCTAATCAGATTCGTAATATTAGTCTACAGGTACTGGGACTAGAAACATGCTCGCACAGAACTTCTTCATTTCCTTTTAACTCTGGATCGAAGACTGGGCGCCTCCTGCGCTGTGTGGCAATCGCCGTTGGTGGTGGTGTTCCTTGGCCCGGCATTCCCCGAAGCACTAGGTTGGATGATGATAACGCATTCGAGTTTTCGACGGTTTGTAGATGTCGCTGTCGTAGCGGTATCGCCATCCATAAACTCAGCCCAATCGTGTTGTACCGTTGCTTTCTTGAGGCGACCTTGTTTCTTCTAGACTCCGTCAAGCTGTTTGATTGTGGTTGTGGTTATGGTTATGGTTGTTGTTGTCTTCTTCGGTCGACCTCCTCGTTTCTTTGGAACACTCTTGACGCCATCTCGATCAAACTGCGCGGTTTGAGACATCTTGGACTCTGCCAGGTTGCTCGGTTGCATCCTCAACCCCATTAAGCCGTCCGGTCGTGTCCCTATGCTTCTCTTTCTAGTTTAGAGTATCCTAGTTGTCAAGTTGTGCAGTTGTACCCTCAGTTTCATCATGCCGTCCAGTTGCCTCCCTTGGTCTACCATTTCCTTGCCTCTCAGGAACTACCGGGCTGGGGCTAGGACTGGAGCTGGGGCTACCCTCACCGCGCCCTTCCAAATGCCTTTGACAGAATCTCAGATGCTCTCGCCGCACATGCACAACGCCCTCATGTTTGTCCACCTGGTTTTCGATCGTTGCAGCCAGATCGACCTTGTCGCGTATTGCATAAAGCGCTGATCAAAGCGATATTTCTCCGCAATCCCTAGCAGCTGCTCCAAAACCACCCCAGCTTTCTTTACCCTACGGCATCTCATCTGTATTCTTATTCGCATATAGTTCAACCCTGGCCCCATCCTCGTCTCCTCCCCACCAAAGTTGAACATTCCCACTCACCGAATTGGCTAACTCCTGCAAATCCTGCTCATCCCGATCGCACACAGTACTGTGGATGTTTAACAGAACTCCGATGCCCCAGAGCCGGTTGATGTTGTACACAAAGTGCGAGGCTTTTGCGTATTTTTCTTTTGGACCTCTGTGTTATGGCTTGGCGAGAAGTATGCAGGAAGCGGGTGCGGCAGTTGTTCACAGTATCAGTAAGAAGGGCGGTGGTGTTGGTGGTGAGTTCGGAGGACATTTTGAGTGGGTGGAGGTAAAGCTCTGAGGTGGGGGCACGGTAGTGGCATTGAGGTGGACTATGCTGTGGTGTGGGGTGCGGCGGAGTGTCCGACCTTGGGACCAAAGTCGTCGGCGGAGGTAGTGGCAATGATACCTCCTGTAGGGAAATGGTTAAGGTGAAAGTTTGGACTGTATTTGTAGCCCACGCAGGTTGTTTGTCTCGGTATCAGCATCCTCACGATGTGTGAGAATACTGGAATTGTTAACCTTGGGCGTAGTGTGGTTATGGGGTAGCGGGTTTTCAAAACCGCTGGAGGTAGAGGTGGAGCGGAGGAGGTGGGAAGATGAGGCACGCGTTCGGAGGATACGGCACGAGTGTGCGCGTGGCATCAATGAAGCAAAGGGAAATTAAATTTGCTCAAACACTCTCGAATCGGATGGATGCCTTGCATGACTTGGATAGTGAAGGTGATATATTGGCCACTTCCGAGATCACTACGACACTGCTAGAGATGACTATCCCAGTTTATCTCATTAATGCATGCCTCTATTTTTCAAAGCAATTACGATCCGAGGGCTGTGTCTAAAACCAATCTGCTTTATTGGAGCTCTCCTTGAGGTTTCAGTGCCTTTGATTCGGATATCATTACGATGTCGAGGCATACGGTAGAACGGGCAAAATTCTTGACAGCCTCTTTCCGCTCATCTCCTAGGCCTAGCTGCAAGGTTGAAATCGAGGCTAAGAATTTCCTTCCTCTTTATTCCCGCCCCCCTTCTTTTGCTTGGGTGAGCGAATAGTCCAAGATTTCTCTTGCAAAGGCAGGTGGTAGAGAAGAAGCGAGATTCTTAACTTAGTGAGAGCCAAACTAAGTGTATTGAAAGATAGTGTAGGGTTTAGTTTCAGGAGCGAGAGAGAGCTCCGGGCTAACTATATACCAAGAAAAAGGAGCTGGTCCTAACGAGTGACTAGTGCAGCATCACGTACGATAATTCCACCCCCTTGATAATTTCTTTTGGGAGCCTTCCATTGCGCATGCATTTTCTATAGCCGTCCGTTATCCTCTCAATGAGAGCCACAAGATAACCTATCAGACTGGAAACTTATCAAAAGCCTATTAAACACCCCTTTAATTCTCTATAAGTACTTAGAGTCTCTTTTAAATAAAACTACTCTAGAAATAGCTTTTTAAACTAAAAAATATTAGCATTAGTTAAAACTATAGTAGCATTAGCTAGCTATAATGTAGAAGGTCTACAGCCTCTGCCTTAAGCGCTTTAGGCTTATTTAAAGTTAAAAGGGTTTTTGCTAGATACTTTACTTTTTAATCTGCTAAAAGGTCTAACTACTTTTACACTTACTTTTAATAAGTAATAAAAGGCTAAAGCTGTGTAAAAAACTTTTTTTACTTTTTTAAAAAAATTTTTTTTTTTACGCATCTCTTTTTTTTAAGGTACTTTTAGCTCTTATAGAAGCCTTTTATGCTCTTACTCTAACTAATCCTACACTATGTTAGAAATAAAAGTGTTATAGTAACTTCCTTTTTTTAAGCACTCTACGCAGTTGTCTAATAATAAGGTTATTATGTAAAAGAACCTACTTAAATAACATAGTTTATACAGGCGTATTTTTAAACATTATAAGGGATTAAAACAGGCTATAGTATAAAGACAGTAATAGGCAGCAGAAACACACTAATAGGGCATAGTTAGAAAAAATAGATATTTATAAAGGCTTTATAGACAAACACACACTAACTAAAAAAAAACCTAATGTTTACAGCAGAAAAAACATAATAGTAAGGACACTAACTAAAAGAGAAGCCTGCGTGTTATAGCTAATACGTAGACTATAATAACTTAATTAGCTATACTTTACAGCTTAAATAATATTAAATAGACAGCGCTTAAGTCTATCTTAGACAAATTATATAATAAGCTAGATAAAAAATAGCTTTAGCTTTTAGATAAATGTATAGAAAGATGCATTATCTAATAAAAAAAGTATGTTTGCATTGTTAGATTGAAGCACTGTTTCTAGGCTTCCTGAGATGAATGATGGGTTTGGATATGATGTATGGGATGATTAATTAATTGTATTAATTGTCTTTTTTTATTAATCCTTTTTCTGCTCTACTTGTGTTGCTCAGCTTTTTGTTTTGCTGATCTAAGTCCCTCGCGCACTTGCCCTATGCGCGACTAGCTTGCAAAATGCTGCAAAATGCTGCAATTTGCAGCAACATACTGTTCAAGCTTATTGCTCGTACTATGTAGCAGCTTTCGTCAAGCGTTCCTCCTGTCTTGACAGTAGGTGCGCAAATTTGACACACCCCCTCAGCTTGGACATGCTTTAAGCTGGTTCCCAATTGCGCAACCTTAGTATGCTTCCAGGGCTTCCATTCTTGCTTTAATCTCTTCTATATCCGCTTCCTGACTGACTATCCTCTCCCTAACATCAACTAGCCGAATTTGCTAAAGAAAGTGTCACGGTATCCTCCCCAGATCCCAGACATAACTGTATTAGACGCGTACTAGAGTATTATTAGTGCACGTCTAACATAAACACAACACAACATAGACATAAACTTAAGCATAAACTGCTTTAACACTAACTAAACCTAGAATAGGCTTAATTTATACTTAAAGTGCTTAGACTTTTAAGCTAAGTATTTAATTACTAATTTTCTTCTAAACTTTTTTATTTCTTACATAACATTTTATACCTACTATAATACTTTATATAGTAATTAAACTAGACCTCTATAAAGCTCTATAACCTTACTTGTGCATAATTATAATATTACATTATATTAAAACTTTAGCTAAGAATAGCCTCTAAATTTAATCTAATAAGCTTAGTACTTATATAACTTTAAGCTATTAAAGTAAGCTAAAAAGCCTTCTAAAAAGCGCTTACTTTATAAAAAAGCTGCTATGTTATAAGCTTTAAAGCTTTTTAAAAGAACTTTAAAAAATAGCTTTATGTTATTAAGTAGTCTATTTCTACCTTAACTTTTGTTATAGTAGTAGAAACTAAGAACTTACTAGCTTTAAAGCTTACCTAAAAGTCTAAAGATAGCTTAACTTTTTTTTGCCTAATACTACTTATAACCTGTAACCTTTCTAACTTAGTAATAAAATCTAACTAACTCCCTAATCCCCTGCTGTTTAATAAAAAATAAAAAGACCTACTTTCCTTTCTATGTAAGCTTTAATATAAACTTAAAAGAAACATAGACTAATTCTTCTTTAAACACTTTTAGTTACTATATGCTTACTCTTAACTTAACTATAACATAACAGCCTTAATTAACTTACTAATAGATAAAGATATTATTAACTTAAATTAACTTATAGTGTTTCTATAAGTAACTTATAAAGACTTAAATAAAAAGTTAACAGCTCTAAGTTACCTAAATACTTTATAATAAAAAAAAAAAGCTTTACTTTACACTTTACTAAGTTTTACTAACTTGCATTTAATATAGGCCTAAATAAGATAGGTTTAATTATAGCTTTATATAACTCCCTCTTAACTAAACTACAACGCGCTATAGTAGGAGAACCCCTTCTAAATAACCTTAACATGTATATAAACTTAATTACTACTTATAATAATAACATAAGGTTTCTCTCTATATAAGCCTTAATACACCTCTAAACTAGCGTAGTTACAAATAAGAACTTTAACATAATAAAAATTAATTTAAATTATGCTTTAGTTAGTTCTAAAAAGTATAAAAATTACAAAAAAAAAAGTTAATACTTTAAGTGTAGTAAGTATAGTTATATTTTCTAAAACTACTTTATTCCTCTTTTTTAAGTCTATGTAAGTAGCGCTGCTAGTACTTATTAAAAATTCTTACTATTTTAATTTTATTTTTATAAGAGCTTTAACTTATATTTAAGCTTTAATCTTCTTTACTACTCTTAACATAGCTGCAGCTATAGCAGTAGGAGCCTGCAAAAAGGCTTGTTTTAAAGCTAAGTTGCCCTTTAGGACTAATTTAACACTAGATCTTTACTAACTTATAGGCTAAGTCCTCTACTAATAACTAAAAGTACTAAGTTAATATTTTTATATATTTATAATAAGAAACTATATTAGCTTTAATATAAGCTCTTATTAACTTAAAAGTAAATAGCATAAGTTACATTAATAAAGAACTAGCATATAAACTAAATTTTTAATTAATACTACTTACCTAAATAATTTACTTAACTAAATTTAATAAAAAAATAACTTAAAAAAAGTTTTATTTTTTATACTATAACTATTATAATTACCTACTAACACTATAAAGAGCAGATTAAGCTTTATATAATAAACATAAGACATTATAACTTAATTCTAGAATAACTATAGCTGTATTAGCATAAGGTTGCCTTTAATTACTAAAAGTAAGTTCTAAACTTTAACTTTTTTTAATGCTAAAACATATGCTTATGCTTACACTTAAATAACACCTAAGTAGCACTTAATATAGAAGGTTTTTAGACTTACTTTTTAATAACTTAGAAAAAAACTACTTAAGTAAGGCTAATAAGCTAGGCCTTTTACTAAAATAAGCTAGATAAAATAATTTAATAACTACTTAAACTTAAAGAAAAAAAAGCTTTTAAAAAATTTTTACTTACTTAATTTAAACATAAACTAGGACTTAAATAGTAGATAGACATTTACTATATAGAACCTGCCCTATTTATAACTCTAGCTTAATAACTAGATTATAAAATCTATGTAGTTATAATTTCTAATATAGACTAAGCTTTAGCTCTTTAAAAACACACTAACTTAAAAATAATAGTCTTTTAAAACTACTATAACCTATTACATGTTTTTTTAAGACAAGTTTAATAAGCTTTTAATATAACATTTATATAATTACTAAATAACCTTTAAGCTTAGTAAACAACTTAGTTATAAGCTACTATATAAGATGTTACTAAATAAATTAAAAGTGCTCTAAAAATACCTTAATAAAAACCTAAAAAAAAAGTTTATTTAAGCTAGCTTTTTACTAGTAGTGTTACTTATACTATTTATAAAAAAACTTAAAAGTAGGCTTTAATTCTATGTTAACTACTAAAAACTAAATGCTGTTACTATTAAAAACTAATACTTAATTTTTTTTTTATAGGAAACTCTAAGCTAACTAAGTAAAGTAAAGTATTTTATAAAGTTAGATATTATTACTGCCTTTAATAAGCTAAAAATAGTAAAGGGTAATAAGTAGCTAATAGTGTTTTAGACCTAATATAAACTATTTAAGTACTTAGTAATGCCCTTTAGCTTAGCTAACGCGCCTAGTACTTTTTAACATTTTATAAATAACTTACTCTAACCCTACCTAGATGTGTTCTATACTATGTATATTAATAATATTCTAATCTATAGTAATAGCCTTTTAAAGTATAAACAGCATGTACGCCTAGTGCTAAAGGCTATAGAAGAAGCAGGTTTATAACTTAACATAGACAAATGTAAGTTCTACTAATTAAAGGTTATATATTTAGAATATGTAATTTTTATAAATAGCATCTAAATAAACTCTGTTAAGGTTTAGACTATACTAGATTAGTAATACCTAAAAAACATAAAAAATGTTTAAGCTTTTATAAAATTTACTAACTTTAACTAATAATTTATTAATAACTTTTTATAGTAAGTAAGCCTTATAATTATACTTACTAAAAAAAGGATTTAATTTAACTTTAACTTAAATTACTAATAGTTTTTTAACTAGCTAAAGAAAGCCTTTACTAAAGCTTTAATACTTTACTACTTTAACTTTAAACTACTAATACTTATAGAAGCTAATGCCTTAGACTATGTAGTAGTAGAAGTTTTCTTCTAGACTAAGCTAGATAGAACTATTAAGCCTATTATATACTTTTTAAAAAAAATAAGTTTTGTAAAAGGTAATTATAAAATCTATAATAAAGAATTACTTACTATAGTACACTACTTTAAATAATAGCAACCTAAACTAGAAGGTGTAGCGCATCTAATATAAGTTCTATTTAACTATAAAAACTTATAGTACTTTGTAACTATAAAATAACTTAGCTACTAATAAGCTTATTAGTTTAAATACTTATCTTATTTTAATTTTAAGATT